GAGATGAAAGATGAGAGAGATGAGAGATAGATGATAGAAATAAGAGAGATATGAGAGAGAGACAGACACACACACACACACACAGAGAGAGAGAGAAAGATGAGAGATGAGAGAGACAGAGAGACACACACACAGAGATATGATAGAGATGAGAGATAAGAGAAAGAGAGAAGATGAGAGAGATGAGAGATAAGAGAGAGATGATAGAAATAAGAGAGATATGTGAGAGAGAGAAGAGAGAAGAGAGGAGGAGGGGGGGGGGGGAAGAGATGAGTTTGGTGTCCTAGAAACCAGGAGACCATGAGTCCCAGTCCTGCCTTAGCCATAAAAGTGACTGGGCCAATCACCATTTTTGTCTTATTAAATTGGCTGCCATTATTCTCACTGGGGGGAGGGGAGGGGTGCTGGAATTGGGTATGGCTAGTCTACACGAAAGAAGGACTGGGAACGACAGTAGTCTTCCAGTATCTCAGGGGCTGCCACAAAGAAGAGGGGGGGGGGGTCAACCTGTTTTCAGAAGAACCTGAAGGCAGGACAAGAAGCAACAGATGGAAGCTAATCAAGGAGAGAAGCAACCTAGAACTTAGGAGGAATTTCCTGACAGTGAGAACAATTAATCAATGGAATAACTTGCCTCCAGAAATTGTGCTCCAACACTGGAGGATTTTAAGAAGAGACTGGCCAACCAGTTGTCTGAAGTGGTGTAGGGTTTCCTTCTTGAACAGGAGGTTGGACTAGAAGACCTCCAAGGTCCCTTCCAACTCTTGTTATGCAATAACAGATGGAGACGCTTACCCGGTCAGCGACTGTGTTGCTGAAGATCATCTCGTGGACGCTGTTCGAATATTTGGGGACACAGAGTCTGCCGGCCGCCGTGTTCACAGCGACCGAGAGGGCCAGGCTGCGTCCGTGCCTCACCATCCAGTCGATGCCGGACACATCCGCTGTGGAACAAAAGGAGCCCAGCATCACAACCGTCCTTTCTCAAGATCAACGCGCCCAGAAAAAAACAAACCATGACCAGTTATTTACACCTTCTATGGTCAGGATACAAACTTGAGCAAATGTACACTTTAAAAACAAAACAAAAAAACTCACCCTGCACGTTGTCCTCGGCTTACAATTACTCAGTTAGGGACTGTTCAAAGCCACTAAAAGGGACAATGAATGTGGCAGCATAGAGAGCCTCGGTGGCACAGTGGTGAGAGTGCAGTACTGCAGGCTACTTCTGCTGACTGCCGGCTGCCTGCAATTTGGCAGTTCGAGTCTCACCAGGCTCAAGGTTAACTCAGCCTTCCGTCCTTCTGAGGTGGGTAAAACGAGGACCCAAAATTGTTGGGGGCAAGAGGCTGACTGTAAAACCGCTTAGAGAGGGCTGGGAAGCACTAGAAAGCGGTCTGTAAGTCTTAAGTGCTACTGCTATTGCTATTCCCAGAGTTTCATGAGTGCAGAGAAGAGTATCAAAGATGATTAGGGCACTGGAGGCTAAAATATATGAAGAAGGGTTGCAGGAATTGGGTATGAATAGCTTAATGAAAAGAAGGACTAGAGGTGACAGGGTAGCAGTGTTCCAGTATCTGAGGGGCTGCCCCAAAGAAGAGGGAGTCAAGCTATTCTCCAAAGCCACTAGAAGGCAGGAGAAGAAGCAATGGGTGGAAACCAACCAAGGAGAGAAGCAACTTAGAACTAAGGAGAAATTTCCTGACAGTGAGAGCAATTAATTAATGGAACAACTTGCCTCCAGAAGTTGTGAATGCTCCGACACTGGAAGTTTTTAAGAAAAGCCATTTGTCTGAAATGGTATAGGGCTTCCTGGCTGAGCAGGGGGTTGGACTAGAAGACCTCCAAGGTCCCTTCCAACTCTTGTTATTCTATTATTCTGTTATGATCAAAATTCAGGCAGCTGGTATGTATTTAAGGATGGTTGATTATCCCAGGGTCACTTAATCAACAATTGTGACCCTCCCAGATGGCTTCTGACCAGCGAAGTCAAGGGGGGTGGGGGGAGAGCCAGATTCGCTTAATGACTGCCTGATTCACTGAATAACCCCATGGCCTCGGCAGCAGAAATATTTGGCCCCCATTTGTGGTTGTTGAGGACAGAAAATCATGTTACTTGGGGGAATTCCCACCACCACCACCAAAGCCCACCTAGGAGATGATTCTGGAGGACTCCGCTGAGTTCATCGTCCGTCAAAAAGGCACACATTTCGGCCAAGCAGCCTGCGGAGGTCATGCGAGTTGCATCCTGGCAAAAAGGGGGGGGGGGGGGAGAGAGAAAAAACAAACAAATCCCAGAATGTTTCCATTCGCCACAAAGGTTACCAGCCAGAAACATCTGCACCAGATTTCTTTAGAATATCGGCTTTGTAATATAAATTTTATATGAATATAAGTTTTTGACCGATAGTTAGGACTGCAGAAAAAACAACTGCAACCATGGCAGCCTAACCATTGAGGACCTGTGGAAATATCTACGGACTTGCTTGTATGTACGTACAACTGAGAGCTTCTGCACTGGAGAAAAACTTGTGTGCCCCAATCATACTCGGCCAATAAAGAATGTTTTCTATCTATCCTCTCTATCTATGTATCTATCTATCTAATCTCCATATTTACTTTTTCTATCTATCTTATTTATCTATTTAATACCTCTCTCTCTCTCCCTCTCTCTCTGTGTGTGTATCTCCTATCTAATCTCTCTATATCTTTTCTATCTCTATATCTATCTTTTCTATCTTATTATCTATCTATCTTATTTATCTAACCTCTATATCTTTTCTATTTTATCTAATCTCTCTCTCTTCCTATCCTATATATATATATATATATATATATATATATATAATCTTTTCTATCTATCTTTTCTATCTACCTGCCTACCTACCCTACCTCTTTCACTTTCTCTCTCTCTCTTTCAACTTCTTCCCTCAAGGCCACGCTATAGGGCACCGCACGTCAAAACAACTAGGCACAGAGACCATTTCTCTCCATGCTGTCACACTGCCAAATTCCCACAACGCTATCTATGCCTTAGGATGTCAGAAACCACCTAGTAGGGCCGTGTTACCTATTATCCTCCTTATCTCATCTTTCCTTGTACCTACTTCCTTAGCTCCTTATGACCCTAGCGTGGTTCTTTGTATCTCGTGGTTGATGTTCATTGCTTTTATTTAGTATCCTATGGCTATCACCAAGTTTGCATCTTATGATTTATGTTTATTTTATGATCCTGATTTACCACTTATTGCTTGTATGTACAACTGGAGAGCTTCTGCACCAGAGGCAAACTCCTTGTGTGCCCAAGGACACTTGGCCAATAAAGAATTCTATTCTATTCTATTTCCCTGAGCCACAGGGCCCCTTTATTCAAACTGCTTATATCCCCACTTCGAAGTCGGTTGTCTCTTTCCGTTCAGCTTATACATATTACCAGTTTGAAAAAAGAGTTGTAAATGCAATTTAAAAAGGACAAAAACTTTTTCAAGCTGCGTTTCCCAAACTTGGCAACTTTTTAAGAGGTGGGGACTTCCAATTCCCAGCATTCCCCCTGCCAGCCAGAAACCGGTCAACAACAAAACTGGGGAGTGTTGCAACGCCTAGGGTTTCCAGCAGGCGATACCTCTTCGTGGCCCAGCATGCTGAGGAGCATGGAGATTATGCTCTTCCGAACAGCGGCGTCCACTTTGCCTCCTGCCCCCTGAGTGACAAACCGCAACGCTTGAAGCATGGTGTCCCTGAAAAGCCACAAAAAAGGCAGAGAGAAAACAGGAAGTCAGCAGGGGTCAAAAACCAGGGACCAAACAACAGAAGTGTCAACTAAAAAGACACTCCTTTGATCTTTTTAGCTGCCAGAAAAACGATGGGAAAACACCGCATTCCTTAAGTGCTTAGATAATCACCCTGGCAGCCCAAAGTAGTCGGAGCGCAAGCATGTTAGTGGAGAGCATGATTGATGACTCTTGGCTATGGATGTGTCCCATTGGAGAATATACATCCAGGGGCTGGGGGGGAAGATCAGGGTCAAGGGGGAAATGAATGATGTATCTTAGTGTTTGGCTGCATCCAGGTAACACCGACATGGTCACTCCTAATAAATCAATTTTCTCTTCTCTGAGAGATGCGGCTAGAGATTTATAATTTGAATGGGGGTGGATTTGTTGGAGTCCTGACAGGAAGCATCTCTTGCATGTTCTGCATTTATGAGCGCTGCAGCATCCCTGGGTCACCGTTTGAACACCATTTGCAACTTTCCCAGCCGGCTTCCAACAGGCAAAGTCCAGGAGGGAAGCCGGATTGTCAAGAGTATATTCATGAACTGGAATAGAGCATGGTAGCTAGGTCAGCCAATGAGGACTTTTGGAAACTGAAACTAGAATTAGGCTAGGCGTAGCAGCCATATTAAGCTCTGCAGCTCTGAAGCTATGTTGAGCTTTGAGTCTGTCTATTGAACATGAAACTGCTTCTCTCCTGTGCTGTGCATAATACTTGCCTGCTGAACTAAAGTGAAACTGATGTCTGTTTCTGAGCTCCTGAGTTGCTACTAAAGTTACTTGCAACAGGTTTCTGGAAAGCACGGTGAAGCAGTCTAAGAGCTTTCGCTATTCCCACGCTACGTAGTCAACAAACAGTAAGCTTTTCAGAATTGAAATGATCCTGGACTTTTCTTTGGATACCCAGGCTGGGATGTCGACAATAATAAAATGTGCTTTTCAGAGTGAAACACACAGAGAAAAGGGGGGGAAAAGGGAGGAGAACGGGCCAGCCCTTCCCGAGCCAGCTGTGTCACTTGCCTGATGCCAGAGTCCTCGCTAGTACGAATGCCGTTCAAGAGTTCGGTAAAGAGCGGGTCCACCTTGGCGTGGATGGCAATCAACTTCCCCAGGGCCTCGGCAGCTTTTAAACGGACCACTCGGTTCGGATCTTGCAATGCTTTGGTGAAGGTGGTTTGGAGCTGAGGCAGGAAGGGCTTCAGAGCAAGGCCCACCTGTGAGGGCGACACGTTACACACCGCCGTTACCCACATCGATGTAAGGACAGGTAGCCCACACCTTACATCTGTTCCAGTGGTGGGATTCAAAAAAAATGTGACTACCGGTTCTTTGGGCGTGGCTTGGTGGGCGTGGCAGGGGAAGGATACCACAAAATCCCCATTCCCTCCCCACTCCACTAACCTGCTGTCAACTCAAAAATATTTCTCTGGTCTTTTAGAGTTGCCAGCAGAAAGGGAGTGAGGGAAGTAGTGCATTCCTTAAACGCTTCATAGATAATTTCTAGCACTTAGACTTATATACTGCTTTATAGTGCTTTACTGCCCTCTCTCTCTCTCTTTACTGCCCTCAGAGTCAGCTTCTTGCCCCCAACAATCTGGGTCCTCATTTGACCCACCTCGGAAGGACGGAAGGCTGAGTCAACCTTCAGCCTGGTGGGATTTGAACTGCCAAATTGTAGGCAGAAGTAGCTTGCAGTACTCCACTCTAACCACTGCACCACAGAGGCTCCTATTATATTGGGGGGGGGGGAATTCCCCCCCCCCCCCAAAATAAGCCCTGGTGCTTACCCTGGAGCCCAAAAGAAAACAAGACCCACTCTTATTTTCGGGGAAACACGGGGGTAATTCTAAGTGCTATTGTTATCGGGGTCTTCACCCAAGCTCTTTCGGGATTTCGTTCCCAGCGTTTCCTCGCTTACCTTGGCCAAGAGGAGACTCAAGGTTTCCAACAAAGCCACCTTGACGTTCCAGCTGAACCGGTCTCCCAGGATCCGAATCAGGGGCCCGGTAATGCTGACGACGGATGGTTTCAGAGCTTCGGCGGAGGTCAGCTTAATGACCAAGCCCAAAGCTTTGGCCGCCTCTTCCTTCTGGTCTGAGTTGCCGGTCAGGACCCCCTCCCGTAGCATAGGTAGGATGGAGGTCACGCCCTGGAGGGAAGGGGACAAGGCAGACAGGTGGTCAGCGGAGAGGCAGCTTGCCTTCCAGGCAGCGTCCCTTCCTATTCGACTGCCATGTTTAGTTACGAGGAGGCTTTCCGTCTTTCAAAACATCTTGCTTCTTATCCAAGAAGATGTTAGAACCGAAGGAGCATCTTGGATGAGAAGCGAAATGTTTTCAAGGGGGAAAAAAATCCCGAAGAAAGTCCGGTTGCCTTTTGACTTAGAATAACTTTTACTGACAGTTATTGGCATACATTAAAATGAAATTTTGTTGCATACGGTTTTCAAATTTCATTGTATACAGCTTTCACCTCCAATATACACTACATAACCATCAATAAATGGATAAAAGATTAGAATAGAATAGAATAGAATAGAATAGAATAGAATAGAATAGAATAGAATAGAATATGAGGAGGGAGAGGAGGAGGAGGAGGAAGAAGAAGAAGAAGAAGAAGAAGAAGAAGAAGAAGAAGAAGAAGAAGAAGAAGAAGAAGAAGAAGAAGAAGAAGAAGAAGAAGAAGAAGAAGAAGAAAAGAAGGAAAATGGAATGGAGTGGAGTGGAATAGAATGGAAGAATGGAATGGAATGGAATAGAATAGAGAACTGAACATTAGATTAGAATGGAATGGAATGGAATGGAATGGAATGGAATGGAATAGAATAGAATAGAATAGAATAGAATAGAATAGAATAGAATAGAATAGAATAGAATAGAATAGAATAGAATAGAATAGAATAGAATAGAATAGAAAACTGAACATTCGATTAGAATGGAATGGAATGGAATGGGACAGAACAGAATAACTATTATCACTTTGAATGTACCCTAATCAGCATACATTAAAATGAAATTCTACTGCATTCAGCTCTCAAAGGGTCCCCATCTCCAATATACACATCAACATGACAAATACACACATACACACACATGTATTATATGACACGGAGGAATGACACACCTTTAGAAAAGCACCTTTAGGACAAATTTGAGACAAGTACACCGTGGGAAGAGAAGGTCCCTTCAGGTGATAAGAAGTAATGGTGCTCAGAGCCTCGTCTGCCCCCCCCCCCCCCCGCTGTTACCTTTTTGGGAATGCAGAATCCAGGCACGTGGTCTCCGGCGGCATCGTTGCCAACGATGCGGATATCCCTGTGGAGGTCATCGATGAGGGCCAGCTGGCTGCCAGCGTCTAATTTCTAGGAAAGGAACCAGAATGAGGAAGCATCCATCAATGACAGAGTGACAGAGCTGGAAGGGGGCTTGGAGGTCTGCTAGTCCAACCCCTTGCTCAGGCAGGAGATCTAGACTATGTCAGACAAAGGGTTGTCCAATCTCTTCTTAAAAACCAGAAGCGCTGGAGCATCCACAACTTCTGGAGGCAAGTTGGTCCACTGATTAATTGTTCTCACTGTCAGGAAATTCCTCCTTAGTTCTAAGTTGCTTCTCTCCTTGGTTAGTTTCCAACTGTTGCTTCTTGTCCTGCCTTCAGGTGCTTTGGGGAATAGGTTGACCCCCTCTTCTTTGTGGGAACCCCTCAAATATTGGAGGACGGCTATCACGTCACCCTTGACACCCAAGTTCTCCGCTGTGCCCTTCCTCCTCCTTACAAACCCCTCTAGTACTGATGACGTTACTTAGTCGGGTTATAAAATGTCTGCAAGAAAGCAACCCAGCTCAGGGAGCACCAAGGATTCCACGGTGCTCTTCCTCCTCCTCCTCTTTGCCAACCCCACTCCTCACTAATTCGGATGATGTTACCCAATGGGGTGATGAGATGTCTGCAAGAAAGCAACCCAGCTCAGAGAGCACCAGGGACTCCAGAGCGCTCCTCCTCTTCTCTTCTTTGCAAACCCCACTCCACACTAGCATTTTGTCATGCCTCTGTTGGAGACCGACTCCGAGGGAGAGGACGAACAACCGACAGGGAGTGGAGGTGTGGCTCTAGAGGTTGTGGAGAAGGCCGGGGAAGGGCAGAGGGCGGCTGGGCAGTCAGAGGAAGACCCAGATCCATCCCCACGGAGGAATGGAGAAGGGAACAACGTGGCTTATGGGAGAGGAAGCGGCCATGATCCCCCTCATTGGCTGCAGCTGGGGGAAATAGTATACAGGAGGGGCGTTTAAAACACAGTGCTGCTAGAAGCAAAGTGTGTTTCATTCCTGGCTGAGGTTTATCTTGGTTGGAGTTCTTCCAACGGACTGTGCCTTGTTATCTTCTTGCAATTTGTCATTAATTATCCTGGTCTGTTGTGGAAATTCCTTCAGTTCGGTTTGTTTTGGGTTTTTATTTCTGTTATCTGTTCTTTGGAGTTTGGACTGTATTTCTTTCTTTTGGAGACTATTTTGGGAAGAGTTTAATCTCCAACTGAGAACAACTGAACAGTGGGGCCAAGTTGGGGGCATTAAAGGAAATTCATTTACGTTTGGGAATTTGTTTACGTGTGTGCTGCTTCCTGGGTCTTCAAACACTGATGATGTTACCCAAGATGGTAATGAGACGTCTACAAGAAAGCCAGCGAGCTCAGAGAGCTCAACCCCCAGCTACCAAGACTCTCTTCCCTCCCGTTTCAACGTTGTCCATTTCCCCAAAAGCTTTGCTCCTCCTCTTTTCTTCTCCCAAGACCACGCCCAACTCTCACCTTGCTAATGGCGTTGAGAGCGTCCCAGCTTTCATTCAGGACCACGGCATTGGTGTCGTTGAAGAGGCGGATCAGGCCTGAGACCAGGTTGCGCAGGTGGGCGGTATAGTCCGCCTTGGTCTTGGAGCAGTAGATGTTGAGGATGACGGCCGCGGCTTGGCGCCTTCCAACTTCGCCGCTGCGCGTCGTGTCCAAGAGATCCTCAATGATGATCCTCTGCCCGGCCTCGTCCTCTACTGACAGAATGACAGCTTGGCAGTTCAGCATCTCCTGGGACAAAAAGAGGTTCCAACCGGGTTATCTGAGGGACTGTGATGACCCAAAGGGGCCTGGCACAAAAGCAACGCAGTCGGATAAGCAACCAGAGTCCCTTTTATCTCCAACTTTGCCCCCAATGTCCGGGTTACCTTCGGGCAAGGAAGGTTGTAAAAAACGAGGCCAAGCTCGCTTCACGAATGTTTCACTTCACAGCATCGATTTGGGGCTCTATTTCTAAGCCGAGGATCACCTGCACTTTTGGCTCTGATATGAGCAGCTCGAAATCAAACTTGCCTGCTGTTCATCGCTTGTGCCCAGCTTCTCCTTCAGGGCGGACATCATGGCGGGCAGAATGACACCCAGGTGCCGGGTGAGAGCATCGCCAGCAACCGAGGAGAGGAAGGCCAGGACTCTGGTGTTGACGGGAGGAGAAATAAGCTAAGGAAAACGAGAAATGGGCTTTATATTTAATATTAAAGGAAGAAAACCAGTATGTCAGTTTCTTTTTTATCTCTATCTATCTATAATCCATCAATTAATCAATCTATCTACTATCATCTATATCTATCTATCTATCAGATAGGATAGACAATAGATGATATATAGATCTATCTTTCCATCCATCCATCCATCTATCTATATCTACCTACCTACCTATCTATGATAGGATAGATAGAAAATTGATGATAGATAATAGATCAATCTACCCTGTTTCCCTGAAAATATGTCCTACCCTGAAAGTAACTCCTAGCTTGATTTGTGCACGTGAGCCCAATATAAGCCCTACCCCTAAAATAAGCCCTAATTAAGATCCCACCCACTCCAGTGTGGACGGGTAAAAATTAAGCTATGGTGGGGATGGAGCTGCCTTACCACTTACCTTTGGGCAGTTGTAGCCAGGCCTCGCACGCAGTAACCACCTGCCTTGCCACCCCACTTCTTCTGCAGCCAGCAAGGCTGGCAAGGCTTCCCTGAAGGCATCTGTAGCTGATGACAAAGCTCTGGATCGATCCGGAGCTCTGTTATCGGCTGCAGAGGCCTCCAGGAAAGCCTTGCCAGCTGCAGAAGAAGAAGTTCCTGAAGGCCTCTGACAGCGGGAAAAAAGGCCAGGGGGTCGATGCACACAAGCGAGGTTAGTCAAGGAATGACATCCCCCCCCCCCAAAAAAATAAGACCAGGTGCCTTTTTTGGTGGCAAAA